CAGAAAACTCGCATCAGTCCCACATGAGTTGGAGCTGCTCACTCACTGCAGTCGCAGCCCCAGCTCTGACAGGCAGCAGGCCAAGGTGGGCCCCTGCAGGCTGGAGTCATCATCTGCATCCCTGTGCTTAGGGAAACAGGATACCAAGTGAAAGGTCTGCCACATGCACTGGATTTATATGCTAGGCCTATAGTGAGCTGTCTTGTGGCCCTCCACGATACTCTTCCCTCACCTTGCTGCAGTGTTTTTAATTAATATAGGCTCCCGCCAAGCTTGAATCAAGCTTTACAAACAAATTAGACCTGGTGGACAATTGATTTTAATCCCTTGCGACTCCTGAAGCTCAAGCGTTTTCTTCTTCCTGAAGGCTAATTTCAATTTTAAATAAAATGTCCTGTCAAGGTTAGGCACGGGGAAAACAGTAAATAAAGAAACCCAGCTAAGTGACTCATTTCTGAAGTTTTTTTTTTTTACCCCGTATAAAAATACATCCGTAGGAGAAGTTTTTGAAGGTCAGCTCTGCGTGAAAAGTCACCTGTGATCAGAAGGAGCTACTTTGTAAAGCTGTATAACGAATGTCTGTGCTGTATGGGTCCACCCTGGCCAGCCGGGGCTGTCCAGACACGTGAGTGGCAGGTGCAGGCTGCTGTCCTGTGCACAAGGCATGAAAACGCTCCTCAAGCCTCTCTGTGAGACTGGAGACTCACAGAGCTGTGGCCTGTCCCTTTGGTTTAAATTTGATTGCTGACAGTATAGCAAAACGTCAAGAGTGAAGTGTTTTGTTTTTTTTTTTTCATCTAGTGACTTACAGTATGTGTAAATTTATTAAATGAGTTGCATTTTGCAGTATTTTTTGTGTGTTAGGATAGGATGATGAATAGCAATTTTTGAACAACACTGCTTTTGTGCTCCCAGAGCATACATTTTATGCTCCCAGAGAATAAAAAAATAAAGATTACCACTCCGTTTAAATAAGCTGTAGCTGTACCGTTTAAATGTAATAATCACCTTAAAGATGGCTTTCTCCCTTGACTGGTACCTGTCAGAATATGAAAGATCGGATCAAACAGCTGTGTCTAGTTCACCCGGGTCCTCCTGTAGCTTGCAGACCTGGTGCTACAGTGAGCTTTGCAACAGACTCAGGCTCCTGGTACCACTGTATTATAACATCGTGCTTCAGTGTACAGCCTGTAGCGTAAGATCTGAGCATTACAGCGGGAACCTTTTGCTAACTTGTACTGACTGACCTGGACGTAATCAAAAGTGTTAATACTGTGGGGCTTCCTGAGGAATTCGCGTTGCAAAAGTTCAGATTCTTCTCCATCTGCCCCCCCCCCCCCCACACACACTTTATTTAATGTTAGAAAAATAACAAAAAAAGGGCTCTCCCGAGAGCATCCCTTTAACCTGGGAACCGCTGAGAGAAGCCCAGCTGATCGATGTTCACGCAGCGGACATGACAGGCAGCGGACTGGTTCGCATCAATTATAGATCAGTGTGGTCTCCAGTCGGATGGCCTGGGAAAATGTGTTTGACAGGCCCCGGTGCTGAGCGGGAGGGGAGGCGCTGAGGTCCGGCCCGCTTTCCGCGAGTGGGCTTGCTCCCCGGGAGACTCCTGAAGGCTCTGCTCCGCGGCCTCACAACCTCACGCAGCGCGTGTTCTCGCTTCCCTGTCAGGTGTCCCCGTATTTAACGGCGCTGGGGAGGCTGGCCTGTTCCGGGCCGGGCCCGGGAGGGGCCCCGGAGGGGGCGAAGATGGAGCGGTGGCCTGGGATTGAACCTCCTCGCACCCCGCGCAGCGCCGCGCCGCCCCACCGACCGTGAGTGACGCCTTTCGGCTGCCCCTGGCCCGACCCCGGAGCGGCACCAGCGGATCGATAACCCCGCTGGCACCCCCGCACGCGGGAGGGAGGCAGGGAGGTCAGAGCCGCGCGGCGCCGCCTGCCTGTGCTCAAAAGGCGGGAGGTGTCGGCAGCAGCCCGCACCTCGTCTTGTCCTGCGGCTGCTGTCTCCGCTCTGTGGAACTTTTTCTGCTTTTGCAGAAAGGAGGGTGGAGGCCCGTGGGCGAGGCTGCCCCCGTGCCGTGCGTGCCTGCAGTTTTCTGCCTCTCTCCTTAGTTTTGGGTGCAATACGTGTGTACAAACAATACGGCCTGCTCTCAGTGTTGGTTGGCCACGGTTTAATGGCCGGTCCTCCGTTTTCTTGCTTTCCTCGTGGACAGAAGGTAAGGTTTTCAGGGCTGCGAGTCCCAGGCGTAGCCTCGTCTCTTTGCGCCCTGTCCCGCAGGATGAGTGTGCTGACGAGCTCAAGCTTTTCTGCTGTTTCCCACAGGGAGCAAACAGGCTTTCGGCCGACTGACTTGGTCAACTGCCGTGCCTACTTTTATTTTAAGACACCAGATTTGCTTGTGTTGGGTGTGCTTCTGCCTCCGCACTGTTGTGTCCAGCCCGGGGCGCCTTCTGTGTGAAGTCTGGAGGTTCCCCTCGTGGCTGAGTGCTCCCATTTCCTCCCACAGTCAAGGCACATGCTGTCCAGGTTAATGGGTGTCTTGAACCTGCCCCTGACTGTAAGAGAATGAACGTGTGTGTCCTGCATGGGTTGGACACACACTAACCCTGCCAGCATGGGCTCCAGCTTAGCTTGTCCCTGAAGGATAAGGATCAATAGAAGAATAGAGATGCAATTGTCTATATTTTCTGTCTTCTTATTTACTGTTCTTATTTGCAAAGAGCTACTGTCGTTGCTGTTTAAAGTGTTTCCCTGAGAGGTCACAATGACAACGATGACCCCAGAAATTCGGTCACACGAGCTCATTTTCAGGGTAAAGAGAGACACACAGCATGTCTAAGCTGTTGGGCTCCTCGGTGGTTCATAACTCAACGTTCGCGCGGTGCAGATCTCTCCTCCGCACTCCAGCTAATGGGAAGTCGTGTGTCAAGCGCTGTGTTCCCTCCACGTCGCTGGGAAAGTCAGCGCAAGTGCTGAACAACCCAATTATGAGAAAACAAGGATTCTGTTTTGTAAGCACAACTTTCCTTCCTTGTCATCGTGTTGTCAGATGTCCTAAAGGCAGGCCTGTTTGTGCCAGAAGAGATCTTGACAGCATACCGTTATTAGCACCGAGCTAAGCTTAGAAATTTCCTTGAAGTGTTCCCACATGAAACTATTTTTTTAAATAGTTCTTTTTTTACTTAGTTATTGATGATAAATCAGAAACATCAACCAGAATCTTGTTTTTAAGAAGCTGAGAGCACAGCTTCAGAACACAATGGTTAAGAAGTTGTCAGCACTACATTTATACTTTTCAAGGAGCAAACCTAGTTGTGGTTTGTTCTGCATTACTTGATCGGTTAAGTGAGAGTGAATTCAATCATTAGACGCCAAACCCTAACGTACAGGTTTGTAACCTTTGTTGTAATTTTTTTTGTGTGCAGTTTTGCAGAAATGAAGCATGCCATCTTGTTTTTGTTTTGTGGCATGATCCAGTATTTATTGCCAAATGTTCTCATTTAGACTTAGCAACAGAAGTTTCAGATAAACACAGATGCTGTCCTGCTGGAGTTGAAAGTTAAAATATGTCCCTTGTGATTTTTTGTGGGCGCTGGTGCTGATCTAATGGTGATGGCATGACACCCCGTTACCCTTTACATCCACAGCATCCTTTCAGACACAGCTCATCTAATTCTTCCAAGCCCGTTTCTGCCCAATAACATATATTCCAGCTCTTCTGCGAAAGTGCCCGTTAGTTTCCCGTGCTTCTGATTTTTGTTTTGAGCGTGTTGATGCAGACATTCCTGCCATTGCTCTAGCAGGTAGATGGCTCCTGTAGGGTTTGTTCTTGCATCTTAGCGCCACGTTAACATCTCCCTAGTTGACAGAGAAACACGAGCCAGAGGACACAACTCTACATGGGAGTGCATTTAAAACCAAGGGCAAGAGGCGCTCCTTTACACAAAGGGTAGTGGGGGTCTGGAACAAGCTTCTCAGTCATGCGGCCGGAGCAGATACTTTGCCGCCTTTCTAGAAGCGGCTGTAGGAGATCCTGGGGTCACTTAGCTACTATCTGTCAAATGGGCCAGATCGTCAGATTGGCCGCCTCTGTTTCATTTCTTACTCCTCATCGTTTCTAACGCGGCATTGTGGATTAAGAAATCCTAGAGTTATTTATCTCTGAAATGAATTCTGATTCCACAAGTAAGATTAAAAAAAATAAAATAAACTAAAGTGCATTTTGTAAATAGCATAAATACCAACACTGAATTTAAATGCTAAAATGCTGCCTTTTTTGGAGATGCTCCAAGGTTAGGCTAATCCCTCTTGGCTCTTGTCTCTTGTCAGAGCAATTAAGAAAGCTGCGCACCTTGGCCTCGGAGAAAGCACACCTCTTCCTGCCAAGGCAGATATTCCACGGGGCCTGCATAAAGTTAATAGAGCTGGTAAGAGGTATTTTTTTTTCCCTTTTTGGAGTGTGCTTTGTTTTGCAATAATCCGCGACTGTGCTGTGCAGCACCATGTGGAAGAGGGCCCCTGGTGGCTTCTGGGGTGTGCAAATGCAGTAGCCGGACTGGGGTCCTCCGGAAAGCGGGGCGTATTGCCGCGCGCACGACACTGGAATCCTGCGCGATGGGGTCCGCACCTTGCAGTGGGAGGGCTTTTAACGGCTCTCGCTGCACCTGAGGTGGTGATGAGTGCAGGACGTGGGGTGACACCCGGGTTTGTCCGGTCAGGAGGAGAGCTTGGCTGGACGGAAGACCAGATCATCCTCTGGTCCCGAGGGCTGGGAGTTGTATCTTCCTGCTTCGTCTAATGGGACGTTTGCCTGCATGGAATGTGAAATGTGTCAAGTCAGTGTTCATCGCACCAGTTGTTTTGAACAAATTAAGTTCCAGGATGATTGTGGGCTATTAAATGTAATTAACAATTGTAAAACAATTACTTTCTCCCCTGTGTGAAAAGTTCACAGTAGGAAGTAACAAACACGCTCAACACAGCTGCTCAGTATCCTTTCAGCTGCTTTGATTTTGCCGGTAGGGGAGATTTCTGACATCTCTGCCGTGTCCTGCACACTCGAGTGGTGCTGGTGCCATTCCAAAAGTAATCACAACCTCCAGGGTCCAGGCGATGTGTCCGTCCATGACGTCCTCTGAACCAATACGCTTAAATGTTTTGATGGCAGCTGGAAGGATATCGTCCATTTCCGCTGTCCTCCCCAGGCGCGTTTGTTTCAAACAGGTGACGAATGAACAGCTGGAATGGGCAGCTTTTTTTCCTTAAAAAAAAAAAAGAGAGACCAGGCACTATTACAGACGTGCTGTTGAAGAATCTGTTCAGAGTTTCAAGAGTGACCCCACTGGGCTACAGGGAAAGTGCATTTCAATCTGAGGAATAGAGGTACTGCTGCACCGAAGGGTGAAGGGAGTCTGGAACGAGTTGCCCCAGGTTGTCTTCACGAAATGGCTGGATTGAGCACCTCAGATTGGCTAGCTTCTAAAGACCAAATAAGTGGCCAAATGTCATCTCTTCTGTGACTCTTGCTTCTTATGCTCTCGGGAGTGTAATCAAAAGGAAATCGAGAGAGCATTCCGTAGCTTTCAGTGCGACTTCATGAGGGCATAAACATCGAAACAGATGTTGTCTGTAAGCACTGTAATGTAATGCTCACTTTGTACTCCAGGCATTCGTTGTCATTGTAGGAGACTATACATATTCAAATTCTGAGAGCTTGCATTGTTCGTCGGTTCAGCAGAGCACTTCAAACAGAAGAGGACTGAAGTGGAATCACAGTTTAACTTTCTGAATGATTTCAAATACCACTGGAGGTCACACAGTGTGATCTTTCAGAGCAAACAAAAAAAAAAAACAGACTTAAACAAGTTTGGAAGGAATTGTGCGCACAGTTCTTAATCCAGACTACATTTGCAGAGGTACTCTGTTCAGTGCAATAAAGAGCTTTCATGCTTAAACATGAGCAACATTAATATTCTTTGTACTTCTCTGATGTGCTTTAGAAGGTGACAGATAGACAGCACTTAAAATCAGTGTCCTTATTACCTTCTGTACAGCCAGAGATGACACAGATGGCACTCCTGGCTGGAAAAAACAGTGAAAGATAAGAGTTCATCATGCCATTCTTAATGAGGGCAGCATAGGTAATGTTTTCTCAAAGAGCTGGAGTTTAACTGACAGGGAGGACATTAAAGGGTTTCAGAACAGCGCTGAATTAAAAAAAATCGATGAATATTGCCGGTCTTTAATTTAACATCAGTACAGATGCAGTTACCTTTAAGTGCCCCCTATCATTATATTAAACAGGATTTACATTCATTTACAGATTATGATGTTCTTATTTCTTCGGCTGCATGTAATCACTCAGTTGCTTAATTTAACAGCTTATGTTCCATGCTTTTGTGTCTGAGGAAGAGAAATCACTTTCATTTGCACTTAAACCTCGGCTTCCATCATCCTGCTTTTTTTTTTGTTCTAGCGGTTTTATGCAAGCTTTTGCTGAAGTAAGGGAATTTTTCTCGTCCTTTTTTTTTTTTTGAAAGAGATATAAAGGGAAATTAACGATTAAAAGTAGTCAGATTGGTATGCTAAAAACACAACCTACTTTACTCTAAAGGCCACCCTAAAGGACACCCTTCCCTTGTCATAAAGTTAGGGATCGATAGTTCTCAGCCTGTTAGTAAGCAGGTAGCGTCAATTCCTTGCGCTTCCGTGTTGAATGCGCTGAGCACTCCATGCAAACGTGCTTTAAGGCACACGCCCTGTGAAAGCTTTCCAGTCAGATACACAGTTTAAGAATATTAAACACACCAATTAGAGCCCCGGTCTGAAAGTGATTGACTGCTCGTATGCGCTCTTGCAATTAGACTCGGAGCACTCTCTGTGAACCCGGGGAAGTGTCGGCACTCATTTTCCTGCATCCCATGATCACAAAACGCCGTGTTCACAGGGGAGGGGGAAGGCAGCACACTTCCAGGAGACTCAAGGCTGGGTTTTGTTTTCCTCTACGTGCTCTTTATACTGATGCACTCGCCATTAATTTTTTATGCAACACCCTAGTTGCGGGCGTTTTGTGGGTTTTTTTCCCACATACATATGCGGCGTTGCCCACTTGTTCGCATCTCCAGACAGAGAGCAAAAATACCGAGGAAAGAATGGGCTAGGAGAGTTGTTCTTGGAGATGGGAGTCTTTGTTTACTGGGTTGTTGTGACATTCTCGATTGGTTTAACCGAGCTGGAGGACAGTGGCCAGTAGAAGTCCACTGTAAAATTCCCCTGCGGGGAACATGACGCTGGAACTTTTGCTGTGTGAATCTGGGGTTATTTTGAGTTTTAGTCTGTGTCATAAATAGCCCTTAAAATGGCAGAGAAAAGGAGAAGTGACAAAGTCATATCAGATTTAGGATCTAAAAAAAAGAGCTGTGACCTTTGAAATGAAAGTGAATCTGATAAAAATGTGTCTCTCATTGGCAGTTTCAACTAGTGAGACAATTATAAAGATCAGTAACCCGATACACTTTGACATTATTCCTTCTTGAAATTGTTCGTTTGAGCTGTTGGCGGCAGTGTGATGTCACTTCCTGTGTGTGCTCGTTACCCAGAAGCCACAGGGGATGCTTGACAAGTCAGGAAGCTCTGTGGGAATGAGGAAAGGCTGGATGTGCAGTGGCTGGGGGGGGAAGAAAAATCCCAGGATTGCCCTTGGAGGCAAAGTGCCCGGGGTCGTGGAGTGACAACCACACAGTGCAGCAGTGTTTTTGCAGCATAGCTAACCTGCGTGTGTGTGCGAGATGGGTCCAGGCCGAGCTGGGGATTGTGGGTAAGGGCCTTGACACACAGTGTGAGAAGTTCGATGGTCAGCATGTCGGCAGAGGATCTCCGGCTGATCGGAGGACTGGCTGCAGAAGTAGGAGTAAATCTGCACTCCTGGACGGTCACTTGGAATGTGGTGACTTTCTCCCAACTGCATTGGCGGCCTGCAGACACAAGTCAATATCTTCAACAAAGCTTTGTTTAACCAAATCGTCTAGGAACATTTGACCATCTCAAAACTTCCTCTTTGGCTTTGAATACAAACTTGGCTACTGTTTAACAATTTTCGCCCTTCCAGTCTGGTTTCGGACAACTACACAGCACAGAAACTGCCCTGATCAAAGTCACTAACGATCTTCTAATCGCTTCTACTTCTGGTTCTCTTTCCATTCTCATCCTTCTTGATCTCAGAGCTGGTTTTGACACTTAAACGTGATATCTTACTTTCACATCTTGAGACTGTGTCTGGAGTTTCTGATACTGCTCTTAAATGGTTGAAGTCCTACCTCACTGCCACTTTGTCTCTCTTTCAGTTCTGAAGCTGGATGCAATAAGTGGTGTTCCTCAGGGCTCAATACTGGACCCCCTACCATTCAGCATTTCCATGTTCCTGCTTGGTCAGCTATTAAGAGCACGTGGTTCTTACTAAGACTAATAAATTAATTTACTAGTAAATTAATTATGAAGATCACTAAACTCTCATTTCAATGCTGATGATACTCAAATCTACGTCCATACTACACCTGGCACCGAAGTGGCTGTCTCTGCTTTCTCTTATTGCATCTCTGACATAAAAACGTGGATGAAAGTTCCCTTCATCTAAAGTACAACAAGATTGAAGTCTTGCTTCTCAGCTCTTCCCGCCAACTTTGTAAAGCCGATGCAGTAACTCCATCTGTGGTTGGCACTGAACATGAATTCGAAACTGAATTGAAAAACTTGGGGGTGATTTGAACAAAGCTTGACATTTGATCCATAATTTCAACCACCTCTAAAATATTGACAGACTTAATCCTATATTGTTGCTAACTGTTGCTGAAAAGCTGGTCAATACAGCTTTGTGTCTTCTCTCAAATTGAATACTGTAACACTCTGCTCACTGGATGATCTTCAGTATTTTCAGAATTCTGCAGCTAGAATCCTGACCAGGTTGTGTGCAAGTGACTCAGTGTAAGAACTATGCTGTTCCTGAGTCCTTGCACTGGCTTTCTATCAGGTTTCGTGTCGACTTCAAAATCCTCATGCTCACTACTGTATACGGCTCTGCATGGCTTGGCATCTCAGTACCTGTCTGAGCTACTATCGTCCTACTCCCCACCTTGAAGTCTTTGCTTGTCTAGTTCTGTTTCTCATCTAATTATTATTGAGAATGTAAGAAAATGCATAAGTTAAAATTGTGTGTCAACTTTTTAAGCAATAAGGATGAGATACAAAATCTTGTAACTGGCAGGGTGTTTTGCTCTTGAGGTGCGTTCTGTAATTTTAATACTGAATATTGTGTGGGAGCAATAAGCTATGTGAGATAAATTGAGAGACCCGAGCAGTTCCTTGTATATTCTGTGAGTTTTCTTATTGAAACGATGAATTTTGCTCCCTACCTGCGCTTAAGTTTAAAAGTGCAATGGCTTTAAGAACAATATTTATATCTCCAATTTTAATAGGAATTAAGGAAATCTGTCGAATCAGATGGCCAAATCGATCCTTTCCGTTCTTGTGAGGGCTGAACGAGCTACAGCAGTTGATTGAATGGTTGCCATTAAAGTTTGGGCTTTGTTCTCCAGTCCATTTTCTCTGCCAAGAGAGCTGTGCTGCCCCAAGCTGGTAGCTAATAACCTCAAGTGTTCCTGTATCACTTGAGAGACTCTCGGCGAGTTTAAGTCCCCCCTCGATGTGCGTCTTCCTGAGGGTGTCCTACTGTACGCTGGAGGAGCAAGGGCACTTTATTTGCCCTAGGTCCCAGTGGGGCTGGCTTCCAGACTGCACATCACCTGGTTCTGCATGTGCGCGGCACTCGACCCCCAGGTCCTCAGAGGAGCAGCGGGCCGGTCCATCCCAGGACCTTACAGACGGAACCAGCGAGGTGCGGATCAGCAGCGGGTGAATTCAGCCATTGTTCTCCCCTTCTGTGTTTTTAGCAGGCAGGGGGACCTCAGGGAGCTGGTGCGTGGCAGAGGAACTCTGCTTTCTGTGCCCACACCCAGATAATGGTTTCGGATGCATTATCCACGATAAAAAGAAATCAGAGTGGCGCTGCGACACATACGCTGGGAGACGCGGCTTTCGAGCACCAGCGCGTTCTCGGCTGTCCTCCGGCTTCTTGCTGACGCGCGCCTTTCCAGAGCCATCCCTCCAGATGTTGACCTGAATACAGATGAAGCCTTTCAGCCTCTCCCCGTATCTCATTCGGCGAGGCTTGAGTGCGCTTTCAGGTTCCTCTTTAAGGCTGTGCAAGCAGGATCCGGTGCCATTCTTTCATGTGCCTTGAAATGTCGTGAGGGGTCTTTTTCCCCCCCCCCCCCCCTCACTTCTTAAGATTCCTTACAGCAGCATGCTGGGCTTTATCAGCACAAGCCAACACTCTGTACAGCCAGGCGTCCTGTTGAGAAGCCGTAAACCATTTATTAGCAGATCCGCAGTTCTGTATTATGTTGGCAAGCACAGGGGCACTCATGCTTAGCCTGAAACTTTCTTGTGAAGTTCAACCACACATGAAAAGGGCTGCCGCACTTTTAATACATTCCCGATTTAATATTGTATTAAAAAAGAAAGAAAATGTAAATAAAACCCTTCAGAGCCTTTTGTGACCGGGTGGTGTAGTTTGCTGATTAAAAATCACGTGGCACGATCGTAATGCCCAGTGGAGCTTTTGAACCCACGGTCTGTGAAAAATCCTGTTGTAACCATTGTGCTGAGGCTGTGTAGCATAACTTCATGACTGGAGCAATTCCGGACAGGAATCCTCTCCCCAGACTTGCTGTGAACTTTGAATCTGTAATGTAAATGGAAATTTAAACATTCTTCCACAACAAAAGTCGCAAACATTCCTCCTGCTTTTTTTTCGTCTTTTCTGGTCACCGCTGTAGTTATCGAAGAAGGGCGCAGTTTTGTTCGTAGTTTTGGGGGAGCCGGTGCAGTCCTCCTGGCGAACGGTGCGGGGGTCCCTAATTGTGTGATTTTTTTTTTTTTACAAGGAGAGACACTCCTGCATAGAGTCTGCAAGCAAAACCAAGCAGAGAAACTGATCACCATCCTCTCTCTTCCCGGGACGGACATCAACGTGAAAGGTACGTCCTTGCCGACGATTTTATTTATTGTTCTGGGTGATCGACTGGTAGCTCATTTAACAGCGTGCGCCATTAGTGCATCTGAAAAATGCGAAGAGGCTCTTTGGTGGAGGTGTGAAAGGTTATATGCTGTAGGTGAGAAGCGCAGAACCCCTATGTGTATAATAGAAAACATTTTTACATTAAGCAGGAAAAGGGCTGCTCATTTCATGCACATTTTTTTTTTCCCCCCGCTATTTTGCTGACTAACCTTTTTATTGATCGATTCTGCACGAGAAAACCGGACGACCTTGAAAGGCAGTGTTTGGAGTTAAAGCTAAGAGACCGAAAGGGGGAGTGTAGGGAGGAGGCAGCTTTGTGCCCAGGCGATGGAAGAAAAGAAAGTGTTCTGGGAGGGGAGGCCTCCAGCCCTCCATGAATTAAACTTTTAAACCCGCGTTTCGGAAGCGGAGGTCCCCCTTTCCAGCAGCAGGGTCTTGTCCCAGGGCTGCTCTGGAAGGCTGGAATCGTACGTGTCAATACCGTGCGCCTGACTTGTCGGAGTCGGCAGCTGCCGGGTGTCCTCTTCCCGCGGGCCGGCTTTCCCGCGGCTGCCTCGTGCCACGGGACGCCCCGCCAGGGAGCCGGGTCTGGAGCCCGTGCCGCTCCTTTTCAGGAGACATTGAAAGGTGCAGGACCCGGGTCCCGCTCCCTTATTAGGATTCCCCTAGTTTAGCCAGACCTCCGCCGTGCTCCGTTCTCCAGCTTGCAGCCCGCCGTGTTTTGCCGCGGCCGGCGGAGGAGAGAAACACGATGCTCCTCAGCCACGGCAGCACGAACACGTCTGTGCCTTTTCCTCCCCCCCCGCCCCGGCTCCTTCAGACCACGCCGGCTGGACCCCGCTGCACGAAGCCTGTAACCACGGCAGCGCGGCCTGCGTGCGCGCCATCCTGCGGCTGTGCCCCGGCGTGGACCTGCTCGGCCCGGCGGGCGGGCTCAGCCCCCTGCAGGACGCGCTGCTCGCCGGACACGCGGACGTCGCCGGGCTGCTGCTGCGACACGCCGGTGAGTCTCCGGGGGCGGGGGGCCGGGCTGGCAGGAGCGGAAGCCCCCCCTGGGGTTCCGGCGGGGGGAACCGCGCGGCCTCTCGGGTGGGGGGCCAGACTGGCACTCAGGCCTTCCAGGGCGGCATGGGGGCTACCCACTGCAGACGCCAGGGGTGAGGTCTGATGGCGCTCGGCGGGGGGTTCGGGGGGATTTCCAGAAGAGCGCAGACGAGCCGGGGAGGTGTTTTCGAGGCCGGGGCGGTGGAGAGAGATTTTTCATCGCAGGTCTGCTTTGTGAGTCAGATGTGCCCCCTTCTTCCCCCTTCCCTGTCCATCTTGCCTTTTTTTTTCTAGCTCCGTTCTCTTGCTACCTTTCTGTTTACCTGCGTTATCTAAAGACACCTCTCTGAATTCTGATAGCGCTGCATGCTAATGCCTTTTCTATAAAAGATTTTTAAAATGCCTCATTCTGCCTTTCTCCGAGATTCCTGTGAGTTTTTTCCCCGCGCGTAAGAAGTGTGTCAAAATGAAATCGTTCTCTTTTTTTCCTGCTCTGTATTTCTTGCGTGCCGTAAGCTCACCAGTTTAGAGCTTAGTGAATGGAGAATATGTCAAATAATGTGTCCCTTTCCATGAAGCATTTACTCTTGAACTGAAAACTGAAGATTAGCTTGGGAATCTTCCATTCCATTTCACTTTGGCTAATTATAGTTAATTTGATTCAGTTTCCTATTAACACATGTATGTATTCTGTCCTAAAAAATAAATTAGATTGGGATTGTTTAGCCCCAATGATTAATCTGTTAGCTTTGCTCCATAGGGCCCGAGATCTCCTGCAGAGATGAGGAGATTAAGCAGGTCAGCAAAGATGTAGCTTTTTTAAAATACAAACCTTTTCTTTATGATCGAGGCTCTGTCTCTGCACTCCAAACTATCAGAGCTTCCTAGAATTAAATCAATGAAAACACAAGAAAGTTTTTTCTTTGAAACTGCATGTCATCCCGAGTTTCCCTGTCGGCCCAGTTGTCAGGGGGGGATTTGCATTCAGGCCTTGTAAGTCCCTGCCTGTGTGTGTTGCTTCACCTCCTAAACCCATGTGAAGAAGGAAATTGCCTTTCCCCAGGACTGAGCAAGTGAAGCACTGTGGTGAGGGTGAGCTGATAAGGGTGAGACCTGACGTCATCCTGGAATTCAAGCATTCATTGATAAAGGGTGGGATGCTACAGCTGTTATTTGTTTAGCAAGCACTCTAACCCAGGGCGTGTTGATCTGAAATATACCTGTGGCATCGGCAGTCGCATTCGGTCACCCAGGAGGCCAACAGGGGGCCCTGTGTCGCCGAGGGAGGCCAACTACTCTCAACCCCCCCGAGTCCCAGTCACAGTGGGCTAGTGACCAGCTGCACCCTACTGCTCGTGACATGATCCAGGCTTGAACCCGCAGTCCTCTAGGGTCCCGGAGCTCAGCCTGTGCGGTCTCATATAGCAGTAATAGTCACATGTTTTTGCCATCTTATTGGTTAAGCCATACGTCTGGTCTCACAGTTCCTCTGCTGGGCTTGCTCAGCATCTTCCAGCCCAGTGAGGGTGTTTTGAAGGAGCCGCTCATTTAAAAGTTCAGGATACCAGCAATCCGAAACCAGGCGGCCCCTAAGCCTTCAAGCCTTATTTGCTCTTCCTTCTCAAAGGTATGGCTTTACTGGGCACCAATAAAATCATGGCTTTCCTTGAAGTGTGAACCGGAGGATAACCATTGCATTTCTGACAACTGTGCAATGTATCCTTGAGCCTATTCTGAACAGAGGCATACTGTGTGTGTGTCTTGGAGCTGCTGGGATTTGCTCTTCAGTCCAGTCTTTCCGGAATATTGTCACTTGTTATGGTGTGGGTAATGAGGGTTGACCGTTCTATATAATCGCCATGCTGCAAATCCCTAGTTTAATTTCTCTCCATTTATGTGTTGAAGGTGTGTTTTTATTTCTTTTTATGGGTTCAGATGCCCTTTTATTTTTTTAAGTTTGTTAATAAGCATGTTTTTATTTTCTCCAGCTGCTGAGCACTTGTAAAATATTTTTGAATATTTTTAAGAACATTTCAAGTGGTTGCTCTTTATTTGTAGTAGTCACCTGTGCTTTCATCAGGATCATTTTTGGTCTTTTTTTTTAAATGAATCCCCTGAGAAACAAAATATTGAGAATGCAGTGGTGATGTATCCAGAAAGGAATCAAGTCATCAGCACCACAGTGCATTTTAGAGGTTTTAGTGGTATGAAATGAAGCAAAAAGCAGAGGTTAATTCCACACTGATAAGTCTCTCTCATCCTTGCGTTAATCCCGCATCAGCAGGGTCCGCTTGTTGGCACACCCGTCTCCATTTGGTGGTTTGAACCAAATCTTTGAGCTGACGTTGCCATTAAATGTGACCGAGAAATACTCCAACCAGCGCGTCGCTCTGCCTGCCGTCGGGGGGGGGAGGAGAACAAAGTAATGTAGCCACTTCATAGAGGGGGATTATTAGGACGCATAGGAAATTTGGCCAGGAGTGTTTCACCCCTACTCTTTTCGAGAAACACTCTGGGATTTTTAATGACCACAGAGAGTCAGGACCTCAGTTTTACATCTCATCTGAAAGACAGCGCTTGTTTACAGTCTAGTGTCCCCGTCACTATACTGGGGCATTAGGACCCACATGGACCGCAGGGTGAGCGCCCCCTGCTGGCCTCACTAACACCTCTTCCAGCAGTGACCTTAGTTTTTCCCAGGAGGTCTCCCATCCAGGTACTGACCAGGCTCACACCTGCTTAGCTAGTAAGCTGCAGGGTGACATGGCTGCTGGCTTATCTACACTGATAAGTAAAAAAACAAATGCTATGGAGAATACACTGTCGCATTTTTTTTTGCTCACAAAGAACAAATATCTTGGAAAGGCAGAAGAGGGAAATGGGAAACCTCTTTACAAAAAGGGTGGTGGGAGTGTGGATTAAGCTGCCCAGCCATGTGGTTGAAGCCGGCCCCCTGACTTCCTTCAGGAGAGAGCTGGCTGAGATCCTGGCATCAACTGGTAACTGGTCGTGAATGAGTGAACGGCCCTGTTGGTCACCTTTCCTCCATTCTGTTTTTGTTTGGAATAGCCGATTCAGAATCGGAATCGCGGCTAGGCTGTCCACTGCCCCCTGCAGGCTCACAGCTCAGGGGCGACAGCTCTTGGCCCCACCTCCAACGCCCCTTTCTAGCCAGTCAGGGGCCCCCTGAAGTCGCCACTCGGGCACGTTTCAGGGCAAGCGTGTCCTCACTTGAGGGTCTCCACATCGTTCGTTATTCGTTTTCATTTCTGCCGAATGATGGGCGTTGAAGAGAGCTCCAGATGGCTGTGGCTGTGAGTCTACTTTACGTTTAAGCAGCTAATTAAAGCACTTGTGGTCTTCAGGGACGTCCCCACCCACTTACAGCTCTCCTGCCTGCGAGTCCTGCGTGGCTTCCTGTTGGGGAAAACTCGGCTGAACTGGATTTGTTGCAGGCCGGGGGGGTCGGATTCCGTGCCCACTCGAGCCAGTCGTTCTGGTCACGGCCTCTCGGAGAAGCGGTGTGCAGGTGTGAGGATGGGAAAGGCAGGGATTGCGCTGGGTCTCTGCGTGACGCGTCAGGAGAGCAAGAGCGGGCAAGACTGGCGGCTGTGATCTCACTGCTCGTCGCGCGTGCTGGTGCAGCACTCCTTGCTCTTCCGGCTGGTCGCCTGTATGCGGTGACATTTCCATTATGTGGATTGAGACACCAACTGGGGTCCTTCAGTTTTTTTTAGCCGTATTGAAAGAACAGCTTCATGCTTTTCTTTTGATGTTCGAGACGATACTTTGGGGCCAAGAATACCCTTAGTTTTTTCCCTCCTTGCTGCCTGGGTGAAGTCTGCAGTTCCAGTGACCCTCGTCTTGATCCCTCCTCAGCCCACCCTCTGTGTCGTAAAAGTGCACACTCTTGAAGTATGTCTCATAGTAAAAACAATGCATTTGGTCTATTCCGCAGGCTCTTGTGACAAACGTGGTATGCCCAATATCCAGGCTCTTTGTTGCAGAAGTGAAGGCTCCCGTCGTTAAGCTCTGTCTGTCCTGACTGCCTCTGAAACGCCTCCTGCGGGCCACGGTCGTGCAGAGTCCTGGCTCCTCTTGCACAGCCTCTCGCCGTTGAAGCTTGCTTTCATTCTGTTTGGCTGCCGAAGAAAACCATTTTATTCTGTCTGCAGTGGAACTAACTATATATTTCATTGTATGTGTCTGGTTTCCTTAACATCACTCTGACATTATCAAAAATCATTAATTGCAATTAACGTTCCAGACTTTGAGCTGGGTTTGCCACTCAGCCATAAAGGCCAGTTTGGTGTGGTAGCTGGGATATTGATGACCCACCTCAGCTACTGAGCTCTGTAACTCTTACAGGGTTTTTCCTGGCCTCACAGTGGCCCAGTTTCCTGCTTGCCCAGCTGCCAGGTTTAGGTGGTGCTGGGTGGTGCAGAGCACCTTTCCCTTAATGATCCACTTCACGCTCGAAGGGATATCCAGCGTCTTTCAAATGACTTTATACCCTTCTCCTGACCCGTGCCTTTGTACAGATGTATCCATGAAATGTTTTCTGAAATGTATTATATGGGAGCAATAAATTATAAGAAGCATTTGGAAGTACCAGAGCTGATATCCTTCTGGAGATAGTATGCATGTGTTGGGTTCTGTCAATAGTTTTCAAAGACCGAATTAAATCCTTCATTGTGTATATTTATAAGACGTATATCTATAACATGCAGTATTTCCCTTAATACAAAACAATTGTAAACATCTGCCGTCAGTTTCATAGCCCTTCTTTTTAGACAAGTTCTGGTACTCTACACTAAACTTTTCATGACCTGCATCTACTCATATCCCTCAAACACCTGTCAAAACTCTGAAGCTGTAAATCGGACTATGTTTTTTGAGATT